GGACAGAGGAACAAAAGCCCAGGCCTACATCATACGCCATGATGCCAGTACATGCCACCAGCTCCAAGGGGGAGTCCTTTCCTTACTAATTATGAGGGGAAACCCTGCTGGTAAAATGGAGCATGCTACCATTTGTTTACATCAGTTATCAAAACACTCTGTGGAGAATGCTTTGTGGGACTCTAGCATAGAAAAAGAAATACATTTGTCACCACAGATGGGGATTAGAGAAGGTCCATTATTTAGAAATGAAGGTACTTTGGGCCCCACTTAAGGCTGCCTTTATATTGATGTGAGCCAGTTTCAAAGGTGTACCTTCCACTTACTTCACCCGTCTCACCTCCTGCTTTGGCTCCACACCCTATGCTCCAGCAACACTGGACACTAACGTTAAGTACCATAGATGCCCATGCTCTTCTTCCTGGAGAGCTCCAGCCCAGTGTTTCCTTTGCCCTGCAAAAATCCTACTCCACTAGTTCAAACGCACTCTGTGAAGCCATTTCCAACTCTGAGGTCCGAATTAACCGCTCCCTCCTTTCGACTCCTACCCCAAGGTGTCCCTCATTTAAGGCACTTCCACATCTGACCAGCAGTGAGCTCTGTCGTCTACACGTGCTCCCCACCGCTACCACCACATTATCAACAATTTGAGGTCAGGTACCTTGTTTTACTCAATTGTAAATAGGGCCTCCCGGAGCACAGTACTTTTTAAATCGAACAATGACCAAAAAGCAAGGTTCTCCATTTATTCCAACGTTATATGTTTAATGATGACTTCAACATTATAGTTGCAGTTTTAATACAAACTTAAGTAGCTTTTAATTTTTTAGAAGAGTTATTAGGCAGGCAAATATGTTCAGTGATTTCTTATTCTCAGACATTAAGTCTTACTGCTAATTTCATCCCCAAATTAATCCTTCCTGTCACAAAGGAAATACCCTTTCATTTATAAAATTTGGGAACTGAGCTATGAAACGCATATATAAGCTTATATAGGATATATACATATTATACACTACATACATCTATTACACACACATTTTACATATATGTAAAGAATTCTCCAGTTTTACTAATCTTTAGTTACAAATCATAGGAGGGATAAGAATATTTCTAGATTTATTAAATCTTATTTGGCAAATAAATAATCTTATTTGGGAATTGCTAAAATAGAACATGTTCCCATATTTCCCTCCTAAATAACAAAAACAAACCAGTAAAATGTAATTTAGTCAATACATGGAGTTCAATGAAAGATTAAAGTATTCTTACAATCCACCAGAGAATATAAATGCCAAAGACAATGTTATCTATTTTAAGTCAACCAAATACGTATTTTTCAGTAAACCTGTATGTGTAAGAAAATTTCAGCATAGAAGACTTTTCTTGGAAAATCTTTTAAGTTCAAAATCTTTTAAGTTCAAAAGGCACAAAAATTGATCAACTGTCTATCAAAATTTAAGTTTAACACATTTCTTAAACACAAGAAATTTGAAAGGAACAAGACAGGGGCTATTTCAATATGAGGCTGCATGGCAGTCAGCCTTCCGGAACACTGCCCTCCGTCCCTGACACACACACACCACACAGAAAACCTACAACAACAAGAAACTGAGTCTGAGTTAAACAAAAATCAGCAACAAGTACAGAAAGCCAAGACACTGTAGCTTTATAACAAGGGAAGACATGAGGCCTCAGAGCACCCCAAAAAATGGTTTCTGTGGCCCCGAGACACTTGTCAAGCCTTTGCTCACAGCAGCAGACGACTACCCTCCCTCTACAATACTCAGTTCCTGCCAGGCTAGCTCAGGAACCTGGTGCCCCCATATGCAGGAGAGGGCAGAACGTCAGGATTTTAAAGGAGCGGGCTGGGAATGCCTACTGATCATCTCCTACACTGCTTTCTCAGGGGGGACTTAAAAGGACAGCAGGTTTGCTGTGGACCGCTCCAACAATCTGACTTCCTTGCTGTTACAATCGTCATTAAGATGGCAAAGCAGCTATTGCCACTTACATCACGTGGCCCCCAGTTCCTGTCTTCCACTGGGAGTATGCCTGAGATCACCCCGTTTTGTAGCTCGGATGACCCTATGCAAGTGAAGTAACGCTGAACTACTACTTTCCACCACGTCAGCCACAGGCGCCACTGGAGATCAATGGGACGGACCCATCATCAAAGGAGACTTAAACGCTGAGCCAACCAGGAAGCTGGCTGTGTGCTGCGCACCAGGCACAACCCTGCGATGCCGATGGAACATTTTCCTCACCTACAGCATTTCCCCAAATCCTACAGTCATCCAGTCACCACACCTGCTGCCTTCCAACATCATAGAAACTGTGACCAAATGGGAAAATGACACACCTTGTCAGCACAGCCACCTTTCACAAATGCTCCCGCCAGTGCCTCAGACAGCTCCCCCAGCCAGGGCCCCCTCACGGCCCCTCAGCCGCCGGCCGCACACGCCAAGCCTCAACCCACCCACAGAGGCTCTGAAGGTACTCAGGGACCATGGGGCGCACATGCTGGTACTCCTCGGTAGTCACCTGGGGACACCGCTTGGGTAGACAACAAGTATTCCTGGAGGGGGACAGTTTCCAAAGGCAGCCAGCAGACTGGCTTCTGTCATGTGCGCCTGGTCCCCCACAACAGCCACGTCAAGTCGGGGCTGCTGGAGACATCTGTGATGCACTAACCCGGTGAGAGAACCCTGGGGGAGTGGGTCCCTGTAGGGAGAGGAGGAGGGCGGGCAATCCGCGCCCCCTGCCCTGGGAAGGTGTTGGGAAGCCTTTGAGGCCGCTTGGGCTCTGCAAGCTCACACACACGCACACGCACACGCACACGCACCCACCCACCCACCCCCGTCTGGTCAGCAGCTCACACAGCCGGCTCCTGTGGAGGCTGCCTGGGCTACGGAGTGCTGGGGACTCACAGCACAAGACCTCGCATGGAGCTGCTCTCCAACTCCACCAACCTCCCAAATCCTTACTGCTCTGCCGCCTGGCCCCTAGCAGGGAACGGCGCGTTCCACCGAAGGGCAAGGACCGGCTAGCGGTCTCCCGCGTGCTGGGTCTCGGGTGAGAGATGCCCAGCCGAGCAGCCAGAGGCCGGCCGGCACAGCTCCCGAGGTCCCTCTTCCTGGCAGGCCAGCGCCAGAGCCAGACCCCGTCACTGACCTTCCACTGTTCCTCCCTCGGAGGACGACCGATCAGACTCGCAAATGCCCCATTTTGAAATTTTACATCACAAAACCATGAAAGCAAAACGAACGCCAAGTCCCCAAAGTCCATTGTCGGGGAAATACCTGTATTTCTGCGCCATTTATCTTTCAAATTTGGCTTTTTCCAGGCTTCAGCTGGCCTTAACAAACAAAAGTGACCTAAAGCTGGCAGCAATTTCCATTTCAACTAGAAAAGACCGACACCCAAGCCAAAAACCTGGCTGCTTCCCCAGTGCTTTCAAAAACCAGGACCTTGTTCTGCCTCACTTAGCTGCTACCGAAGTGCTGCTGAAGACTTAGGGCATAATAAAGAATATTTTAAATAATCTTTATCTTTCCATTTCCACACAAGTAACTGTTCTATTTACCACTCGAGTCCCTTAAAATTACACCAAGCCTTCTGTACAAAAAAAAAAAAAAAAAAAAGAACAACAACATCTTACACCAGAGTCCACCTTTATAAAGGTTAGAAACGTTCTTTAACATCTGTCAACAAACGAAACAACGGAAAGGCTTTTTGCCTTGTGAAACTCTGAACATACTTCTTGTGTCATTAAAGCAAAAGAAAAAGCCCAAAAGAATTTGGGATGGAGGACCAACAGAAATATCACATTTAATTTTTTTAAAGTTTCAATTTTGCTTGTTTAAGCCATTTGAAATATGATGAAGAAACCAGCTCTGTGGTTCCCAAACCCTGGTTTTAAGACACCTCAAGGGCAACAAGCTTCAATCTCACCTGGAGCGCTAGTTCAAAAACACAACTCTCCAAGCCCCGCCCCCAGAGACTCTGACTCAAAAAATCCAGGGTGGGGCCCAGGAATCTGTAGCATTTCAAAGTACCCCAAACAGAGCAAAGCTAAATGTAAAAAAACAACTACTAAGTAAATAGGGGTTTTAATGCTGGTGTTTTGCCTTAACTAGTCTCCGCATAATCCTAAAAAAATCACCAGGGCCTGCTGTAAAGTCCTGTGGCCCAGATCTCGCCCCAGATCCCATGGGGGTCTAGGGTAAGGCCCAGCTGTTCTTCAAGAGCATTCCAGGTAAATTTGGAGAACAAATTTAGGGTAGGAATCACACTTTTAACAGAAACTAACTGGGATCCTTACAAAGCCCTGGCATCCCTATCCTTAGGGGCATGAATTACTCACAAATCTCACAAACCGAACTGCTCCCAGGCTTTGTGGCAAGGCTGAAATAAGCCAGGGTACCATGAAGGTGCGTTAGAAGGCAAGGGCCCCCAGCAAGAGGCCAGCGGGTGAAGGAAGATCAGTGAATACAGCAGCACAGAACACATTATGATGAGCTTTGCTTTTTTAAATGATTTTTTAAAAGGAAGGAAGGAAGAGAAGGAGAAGGGGAAAAAAGATGGAGTCGCTATGATAAGCAAAAGCAATTTAAAGGCCACGGTCACGGAGATATATAAAACCTCTGAGTTCATAGTTCTGATCTACATCAGAAATACATATATATAGCAGCTCAGACAGAAACCTGGAAATAAAACAACTTCAAGCACTTCAAACCAAAACTTCTTGCTTTTACTTGGGTTAATTTAACCATAAAAAAATGATACAGATCTTAATTAAGAGTTTGTAAAGTACTTAAGTTTGTCATTTTGTTGACATTCAAATGTAATCTCCTCTGAAAACTATTCTTAGGTATCAGCTAACTAAACTGAACTGTTGGTTTAGATTATTGTACTACCAGATAAGATAAAATTTGAGATAATATACTAAAGAGCAACCTCCTAGCTTAGAAAGAGTCTACGCTGCTTTTAACACTTACCCCTGAGGCTGTCGGTTGTGTTGTAGGGGAAGTATTTTTGCTGCAATCATCTGAGTTAGAAGAGGTGGAAGTTGGAGTCATAGGAACAGAATTATTGCTACTACCTGCAACAGTCAAAATTAACCTCATAAATATACACATACTCTACTCTTACAGTTGGCCAATACTTTACAATCAAATAGCATTCTGTTGTATTTACCAGAGCAAGCCTTTGACTTATTTATGTTCTTAGGTTTTCTTTTCCTGGTTTGAATTCCCTCTTTTTTCATAGCAAGCGGTCGAGGCACCTAGAAAAATTTTCATATAGGCCTTAAGTTTAATAAATAAATATTATATTGAAGAAAAACCCAACTTCAACCAAAGAACATCAAGTACTGAAAGCCCTCAAGTTGGCATAAATTTCAGTCCAATTTTTATACATGCTCAATAGATCCCAATCTATACAAAGACTACACTTTCCCCATCAAATGCAGATTCCTTCAGAGAAAACGAGATGACTTGCCAGGGAAAGTTTATTCCTTCAACTTACTGTTTGTTTTAAACAACTTCAATTATAGAGTAAAACCACTGGGTACATATTTTTATTTCAAAGAGATTGTGTATTCTCTTCCTCCTACACATACAAGGTTAATTTCCTTTTTAAGACTGATGTGCTTCTAGTATTTCATGCTATCCTTCAATTGAAGGACAGAATGTTGCTAACTACAACTACCAAATATATTATTGCTCCTTTGCATAAATGGACTTGATTGCATTAAAAAAATTTAAAGTTAAGATATAAACTAGTTGTGTGCATTTCTAGTTGGTTCCATGCTTTTTTTTTCCTTTGAGTATACAGGTTTTTTTGTTTTGTTTTTTTTTAAAGGTTACTAGGTTACTACTACATTAGATTCTAAAATGCACATTTTTCACCTTTTAGTATTTCTAAAATTACTAAAATTTAGTATTTCTAAAATTCTTACCATGGATGTGTGTGACAGTTTAATTGGCAGCATTTTTTGTTTCTTACTGGTATGTAAGGTAATCGTTTATCTTATAATAACATCCTCAATTAAATAACGTGCATATAAAACATCAGATTCTTCACTTTCATCCCCTCTCCCTGGCTGATTTTTTTTAACCGACACCATGTACAAATGAGAGACTAAACACTTATACACATGAGCAAAGCAGGTGGCGCACCCCATGGAGTTTCATGTAGAGTCCACAGGCATTGCACACAGGTTCACCCTCGGCATTTCTGCGCCACAAAGTGGTGGTTGTGGTGTGACAGTTGGCACAGGACAATCCAAGCCGCCGGGAGGAAGGCTAAAAAGTAGCACAAGAAAAGTTAAGTGTACAGATATAAGTGACTATGTATCTGCTACATACATCAATGTATCCTTTGCTTGTCGTCAACAAGCATGGACCTTTTATTAAAAACAAATGAAAGGTCCCCTGAGAAAAAAATGTAAACTATAATTAGATTGACCTTCCTGAACCAAGACACTGAAGTTTCACATAGGGTGCTCCATCCCACATGTATGTTTGGGTTGCTCCAGCATATTCATGCAGATTATAGAATAACCGGGACTGAGTCACAACGTTGGCCAATAACTGTGCTCACTGTTGTCAGAGGAGATGTAAGAGTCAAGAAACTCAATCACAACCACCCCCCCTCCGGCCCCAGTGGTGTCCTAAGTGGCTTTGGGCAGTCTCTACTTCACCTGGAAGCCAGAGATAATCAGGTCTATTTCTCAGGTATGTGCAGAGAAATAATCCAAAAACTGTAGAAAAGTAGATAGATAGATAGATAAGATAGGTAAATAGATAGATAGATGATAGAAACGGATCTTGTAAAATATACAAAATTTTTATAAAGAAATATATTCTGATACATCTCAGTTATCATGGTTCCCTGCCGCCTGAGTTTTTGCATTATTCATTTTACAAAGGATAAGCAAATTTTATGGCACTGTTTTAACGCTGGCATTGTCTTACAGACGGTGATAAGGATATATTTTCTTTACCCTGTTAGTCCAGTACCCAACTTTTGTTCATACAAAGGATTAAATGGTATCAGAAAAGGCACTGTCATTCCGATTTCCATGTTCCTTTTATGCCCATCACATCCTCAGAAGGAATTTCTCTCATCTGAACTATTATGTGTGCGTTATAAAGGAGAGTTTAAGCTAGTACTGTTAAGTTCCTTCCCCAAATGCCAAAATCTAAATTTGTTTTTTTTAATTACCTAGACAGGCAACTAAAAAACAGCACCATGACTTCAGTAAAAAAGCTGTGAGGGAAAATCCAAGGACCAAAATAAATTGGAAGATTTTTCGACAGAATTTGGGAAGTTAGTTACACTGATTAATTTCAGAAAAGAATAGTTTTAAAGAATGTAAAACAAAAATAGGAATTGAGGGTGTACTGAATATTGGAAGAATTTGGGAAGTTAGTTACAACGATTAATTTCAGAAAAC